CTATCATCATCCCCCCCCCCCACCCCCATTTGCCAGTGACAAGAAAGGGAAAGTGACCTTGACTGTGACCGCCTGTGGCTATTTTTAGCCGTCCTTGTGTTCGGAGGTGGTCAGTAATGCATATCTGTATATTTACTGATCATAATACTTATCTCCTACAAATAATTAATTTAAAATTTATTTTTTTACAAAGAATATTCAGTAAATGACTGCGTTAATTCTTGAAACTACCGACAGTGGTAAATTTAGGATGAGAATGATTAACAGAAGTCACGTCACGCATTTGGAGTTTGGTCCTTAATGATCACCTACCAGGTATAATGGTAGCCTCCCTTTTTCGCGAAACAAGTATATAAATTAAAGAAAATACTTGCAGTGTGTTTAATGTATTACAGTATATTATAAATAAATAAATAAATAAACAAATAAATCGGCAAATCTATTTCAAGTAAATGGAAATATTTTACTCACACCAACATTAGTTCCAATTAAATAATTGACGCTTAAGTGAGTCACTAGTGTACACCAGCCGGTAAAATTTGATGCCAATACTTGAAGTGAATTAGCATTATTTTAAATAACCAACCATAAATAAATGGAAAAAAGATCAAAGGTGAGAAACATTATATTGTATGTATGTTGTGTTGTCAAAGGAAGAGAAACAATTGCAACTCTGCAACCTTTTTCACTCAAATCCTAATAAACAGTGGGAACACAGTCCCACCACTGAGACGAGGTAACACTCCCACCACCGATCGTCTCGTGTGAAGCAAGCGTATAAATTAAAGAAAATACTTGCAGTGTGTTTAATATGTTACAGTATATTATAAATAAATAAATAAACAAATAAATCGGTAATTCCATTTCAAGTAAATGGAAAAATTTTACTTGATACCGACATTAGTTCCAGTTACCGGTAAATAGCAGACGCTTCAGTGACGTCACTAGTGTTTACACTACACCAGCGGGTAACATTTGATGACATTACTTGAAGTGAATTGGCCTTATTTTAAAAAACCAAGGATGGTTGGTAAAGGACTACTGAGTCAGTGGGTAAGTGTCACATTTGGGGTACTGGTCTTATACAGCGAATAGAGCTCAAAAGCTACTTTTTAAATGAAAATTTAGGGGGCCGTCTTATGCACCCCGACGCCTTATAGGCCGAGATATACGGTAAGTAAATAAAATTTTTGTAAGCTGGTAGAAAACAACGACATAAAATTTAATTTATTGAAATTAAAAAAAAATATGTGTACGTAGTATTGTTTATGTTCACTCAGGCAGGCCAGACAGTCCAGGCCCATTGTTGCTGTCAAGTGGTCCTTGTTATTCTATATAAAACATTCATCATGGCAAAATAAATTAGTGAAACCTTAAATTTTTTTTATTTATTGCATTATTTACCATTACCATGGGAGCAGAAATAAATAAAATACCTGTATTTATGAATGCAAAATAGAGAAAAAACGTTTAACATTCATATTTGTCTCACTTGCCTGAGAGGCCCTGAGTAATTTTCTGAGATGCACAAGTATACATATTAATGCATAGCAGAGTTAAAATGCCTAGACTGCACAATTATGCAAATTTTTGGTCATTTCTGGCTTTTTTTCCTGACAGGATGACTTTTAGCAGAACTGGTGGATAATTAATGGGTTTAACACTTTAGGGCTGGTCACTAGTGACATACTGAAAAAAGTACTCTGTACAGTCAACCCTCACTTTACGCGGTCCCACATTCCGCGTTTCCACGTTTACGCGGTGCCCTGCCAGAACCCAGGATGCTCACATTCCGCGGTGGGTGTACCCCTTTACACGGGTGAAGTATAATTTTTTTATTTAGCTCATAAAATTCATACAAATTATCCGGCCAGAATATAATTTACATTGCTGGAATTCTTACAATTTGATGATCATTTTGAATATAAACATCATAGATTTTGCATTAGACATACAAATTTTAGATATAATGTTTACTCTTGAGTAAATATGTTATCTTTTGTGCAAAATATATGATATTTATATTCAAAATATTCCTGGTCTTACAAGGAATCCAGCAATGTCAATTATATTATCCTAACTTTAGTCTGATTTATTATTTATTACTAAAAAGGTAAACAGTCTGGTATTCCCACACATTTATCTAGTAGGGACGTTGGTGGGGGGGAGGGAGGGAGGGACGGACCGGCGACCGACCATCTGTTACCGTGTGAAGAATATTATTATTTTTTATTTACTGAAGATTTTTATTTTGGCTCATAAAATTCATACAAATTACCCAGCCAGAATATAATTTACATTGCTGGAATTCTTAAAATTTGATGATCATTTTGAATATAAACATCATATATTTTGCATTAGACATAAAATTTTTAGATATAATGTTCACTCTGAGTAAGTATGTTATCTTTTGTGCAAAATATATGACGTTTATATTCAAAATATTCCTGGTCTTACAAGGAATCCAGCAATGTCAATTATATTATCCTAACTTTAATCTGAGGTATTATTTAATACAAAATGTTAAAATTTATTTTTTTCACCCACTCTTTCTCTTGAAGGGAGGATTGGTGGGGGGTGGGGGGGAGGGTTGGGACTGACCGCGCGGTTGGAAGAGGGGGGAGGCAAGGTGGGGTACTTTGATTGACAGATAGTGTCGTGAAGAATATTTTTATTTTTTTTATTAACTGAAGATATTTGTTTTAGCTCATAAAATTCATACAAATTACCCGGCCAGAATATAATTTACATTGCTGGAATTCTTACAATTTGATGATCATTTTGAATATAAACATCATAGATTTTGCATTAGACATACAAATTTTAGATGTAATGTTTAATCTGAGTAAATATGTTATCTTTTGTGAAAAATATGACATTTATATTCAAAATATTCCTGGTCTTACAAGGAATCCAGCAATGTCAATTATATTATCCTAACTTTAGTTTGAGGTATTATTTATTACTATACCTGGTTTTCCCCCCAAAATTTCTCAGAGGGAAGAGCCAGCAGTGTAGTGTGAGAAGAGGGGGAGGGAGTCGTGTCCATTATTTGAATGGACATTAACTTGGCGACTGTATTTCTCTATTTCTCTTAAGTATTAATTGTGTGCATGTACCATCATAAAATTAAGATGTTATTTTTACTACAACATAGTTATGTGTCGTCAAAAAGTGGAGTTTGGGGATCGGCCTGGACTCCATTTCAATTAATCCCATATGTTATGTTATTCACTTTACGCGTTTCTCGCTTTCCGCGGTACCCTCCGGGTTACATTAACCGCGTAAAGTGAGGGTTAACTGTATATGCAGTGGCACCAGAGGTAGGGTAAATGTGATACTGTACTGAACTTTGGTATTTTCTAAAAATTTATATTTGTGACAAAATACTTTTATTAAAAATGTAACATTGATAAGAAAATAATTCTGTAGTACAGTACCATACATCATATATAGAACTTTCTTTTTTTTTTTGCATTAATGAAGAGGTAAGAAGCCCTTATGAAATACAGGTTGACAACCCTTTATCCGAAATTCCGAAAACCGAAAAGCTCTGAAAACCTTAAGTTTTTGTGGAGCATTTTTTTACAGGGATTAGCCCACCCAGGCATAGATCACTGACCCACATCGGGGCCTGGGGGGCGAAAATTTAATAGTAATACTAATTATAATAATAATAATAATTATTATAATAATACGTACCGGTACCTGTAATTATTCATAGTAAATAAAAATTTTAATTAAAAAATACACCAAAATAAAATAATAATGATAACAATAATACTGTATTAATAAAATAATAATAATAATAATAATAGTAATACATTAATAAAGAAATACAAGAATGAAAAAAAGATAAAAGTGAGTAACATGACCTAGACCTACGAATTATTATTATTACCTGTATTATTATTATTATTATTATTATTATTATTATTATTATTATTATTATTATTATAATAATAATAATTATTATATTTTCGCCCCCCAGGCCCCAATGTGGGTGAGTGACTTGTGCCCGGATGGGTTAAAAAAAAAAAAAAACTATTCTGAAAACCGAAAAATTCCGAATGCCTCTGGTCCCAAGGATTTCGGATAAGGGATTGTCAACCTGTACCAATAAAAATGTGATGTGATGACAGTTCAAGCTGCCTTATATCATACTCCATACACTTACAATATAGGGAGGGTAACGGAGTCACCCACTCCACTCTCGTCTTGGTCATAAAATAGAATTTCAAGATCAGTCCTCCATTCATGATCACAGGCTTCAAGGGCGGCTCATGTTACATGAAGCAAAATGTTAGGGTGAGGAAAAAAGTGTGTGCTACACCTCAAGCACCATATTGGGCAGGTTCAGCTATTACAGTACTACAAGGATAAAACAGTATCGATCTAACATTTTACCATATGCCAGGTAGTCAATAGCAAAATATTTTAAGTAATAAATCAACTATAAAATATAACATTTAGAGGTTTCAGCTTTAGATGTGGTAATATTCAGTATCAAAACTGTTCATTAAGGAGCCCCATAATATGAACAAAGATGTGACCAACTACCCAAGCGGCTAACGAGCCGATCAATGGTGAAGAGGATAAAAGTAAAAGTAAAAGCTTTAAGTGTACAAAGAAAGTGGGAACAACATTTTTGTCACGTAAGTCGAGAGATGGGCTCACACAGTATATTTTTTATGCTAGGTATTTTGTCCTTTGACCAAAGTTTTAAATTGGCTTACTGTACAGTAGGTCTTAGACTGACCTAACTTGGAGGAGCTGTAGAAGAAGTTTATCCAATGTCTCATATGTGTGCATGAATTGGCAAATTTCCTCTGCCAGAAGTAAAAAATAAGAAGCTTCCATGTGACAGCAGGAGTTAACAACATACTGTACAGTACAGTACTCCAATAACCAGTCAGGGAATAATTTTCTCAAATTTTAAGTCTAAAAGAAAGATAAAAAGGTGATCCTAAAAATACTTTAAACAAAAGCCTAAAATTAGGACTTCTTTAAACATTTAATGATCTTGTTAGGGCACAGATGTAAGAAGCTGATACTGTACATTAGTAAATACTACTAATTGTTCCAATTAAGAAACTCGCATCAAGATATGATGCCAAATTATACTTTAGCGCATGTGTTTTCAACCTGCCTGGCTCCTACTTGTCCTCAGCCAAGAAATTGAGTATGTCTATTTCATTTGGGGTTATCTGGGCTCGCTGGCGGATTTCCTCAAATGTGTAGTCCTTCAAGAGTTCCCCATTCTCAAACACTGGCACCAGCAGGTCCTGAAATATATAATAAAGTGGCATATATGTGCATAAATCGAAGGGTAATTTCATTCATAAATTATGTTAATATTACAGTGCAATCTATTTTCTGCAATGATTTCAGAATTAAACTTATGTGTTTTTAAATAAAAAGTATAATTTTGAAATAAGTTGTTATAGAACACAACAAAAGGGACTCTTCTAAACCCAAACTCCTCTTGAAGCAAAATTTGTAACTGTTTTCTCCAAACTTGAATCAGTTTCTCTTACCAACATGCAATATTTTCTTCACGGATACATACAGTACAGTGACCACGCATTTTTTTTTTATTATTATTACAATGGTCGGGACTTCTCTGAGCCTTGCCGTGCTTTGCCCAGTAATCTGTAACTTCAAGTCAGAATCCATGGCCAGTTGTTCATGAAACTCCTCAGCTTTATCACAAAGCCTTGGTCCAGAAATAGTAAATCCTTCGTTATGTCATTGCTGGAACTACTGTGTATTGTATTTGTATAACACTAAATCCAAGCACTTTGTTAAAAAACTGTCCCTGTTCCAGTTTTCACAGAATTTCCACTTCCCCCATTTTTTTTACACTTGGCACTTTATGTTTCCTTTTATCAAGTGTGTTTGGGGGCATTGTGAAAGCAAAATAAAATCAATATTACTCTGTTAATATTGATTTTATTTGACCAACAAGAGCCAAGATTCCTTCAAGCATCAGTCACAGATCATGGCGTGTGTGGCCACACTAAGTGCCATGTAAACAAAGCAGCAGGAATTTAGGATGACACAATAACTCATCAGGGATTGAGCAAGGGATTTTTTTCATAGAGAACATATCTTCAATTATATAATAGGAGTCAATGGGAAATGTGCAGTGATTTACTAAAACAATTACTAAACACAGTACAGATAGGAAGCAACATGGAAAATGCTTAATACAATACTTTCTTGTCCTTACTGGAAAAAAACATAGTATATAACACTGCATAAAAGTGCCAAAAAATTAAAATATACAATGATGACAACATCCTTTATATCTGTAACTATCAAATTTTAATGTTAGGTTCAGTTATGATATTCATCAAGTTGTATTCAAACATCATGCATCAGATATACAATGGGGACACTTAATGGTAGTGATGTGGCTTCAGTACTGTATATGTAACTAAAATGGAACATTACTATGTTACATTTTCTTTTAAACCAAGGTTGTCACCTTCTCTGGGTCTCCCTTGCCATGTTCAACAGTTGTGTAGACTCCATCTTCACACTGGAGGGTGAGGCGGCCCTTCTTGCTGGTCTTGCCTTTGTCAGTGATGGGCTCCTTGTACACCTCTACCTCATCCCCATCTACCACTGCCAGGCTACACTTGTATGCACACTTCTGGGTGTCTCGGTCCAGCTGCACAAACAAAACATACATCATCGGTAACCACAAACGCTCACCCAGCAGTAGTCTGTATTATGGTGACAATGAATACAATAAGGTCATTTGTTCTGCACTAGGCTAGGGGCTCCAGATCTGTGTTGTAGCAGCAGGTCTCTAAGACAGAAGTTTACTCAGAGGATTTTTGGTTGTACAGTATGTATGTTCTGCACCCTAACAGTCGGCATGGGAATTCTAGACTGGAAGCACATGTAGATACTGTTCTTGAGTGTTATCAAGGAATCTGAAGACTGGACTCTCTTGTTCAAGAAAGTCTTCGGTTTATAGGCTAGAATAAACTTTCATAAAAATAAGGTTCATCACCAAAGGAGTCTGTGTTGCCAGTGTTGCTGGAGGTGATGATGGGCAGGGCATTAATATGGAGTAAGAAAGAGTAGAAAGAAGAACTGAGTCTTGGGGCATATACCACTGTTCAAAATGTATTTAGAATGAACCCTTAACAACTACACAGATGTAGTGATTGGAAAGAAGAGATACAGTTCTGAAAGTTAAAGAAACAAGAAAACCCAAACAGAAAATCTGGCAAGGATAGCCTGGTGCCATCCTTGCTGAAAGCTTCACAAATATCAAAGTATGATAAGATTTGTTAAAGTTGTAAAGTACAAAGTCAAGTTTTTGAGCCAAAACAATCTGTAGGTCTGTAGCTAAACTAAAGTCATATTGGGTGTTAGAAGGGTTGCATTCTCAACCTAAGTACTTTTTTTTTATTTACCTCACATTACATGAATCATGTTTCCATTTCCTAAAACAAAAAAAAATAAGTTTTATAGTTTTACCCGCTGGAGAAGTGACCCGCCGGAGCCAAACGAGACACTGGCTGCTGACCACCCATGACGCTCCACCGTGTCCAAGATTTTACCTGTGGAGGATCATCATACAGTACATATTCACCAGAGTTCCATCCATAATATCCAAATGCCACGACATCTTCTACATACAGTGGAGCTTTCCTCATGAGAACTTTATCCGGGGATGGCCCAATACGGGTACAACCCCCCACCCTCAGTATTTATCTACTGTATGGGGAAAAAGTTGGTAAAAAGGTGAACTTTCTTAACACTGAAGGCACATGACAATGGTAAGACATTTCAAATTCAACACATAAAGTCCAAACAGGGGAGACAGTATTTAGAAATATTTTAATCTTTTTATTATCATTGATGGTCGGTCCTCTTGGTCACAGTGCTATCTCCATATTGTATGACAGCCAAGAATGTATATAACAACACCTTTCTGGTCCACAGGTATATCTGTATATTAACTGTACTTAGTCTAACTCGTTAGAAGCAAGGCATGCAGCCCACCATCTACTGCCTCCTTCTCCGTATATCTTCAACTTCTTTGTTATATGCTTTCTCCCTTGTCTGCTAACCTTTCTACACACAAAACATAGAAATTAAATGGATAAATAACGGACTAAAATTGGTTGAAATTGTTGTAAAATACAGAAATGAGCAGAAAATTTTTAAGAGTATTATACTACCTGTACTGGACTAAAGCTAATATTACACCAACAAGGAGAGGAGTAGAGGTGATATCTGACTTACCAATGGAATTATAATTGACGCCATCACCTTGGCAGACCCCTAGGTAGGATGGCAGCATCTTATAGCCCTTACTATTGGTCTCTGTCCCAAACTGACGACCTAAAATCTCCAGGCACTGTAAGAGGCCCAAAGGAACGTATTATTATTATAATTACTATAATTATTAGTAAAATTATTATTATTACTACACATTGACACCACAATACATTTGCAAAAGCAAAGAGACCTTCAAGTTGCCATATCTACTCATTTCACTTGTCTAATTTACAACAGAGTTGTACAGTTCTGTATTGTACTTTACAAATACCTGTGCTGTACTGTACTAGCCACATACAGTGTTAAACATAATATGAAACTGATACAGCTGTAGACACTGAAGCTGTATACAGCTGGCCCTTCTTGGTTACAAGACACACTCTCTCTCTGTCTCTCTCTGGGCAGAGGGAGGACTAGGACGTCCTATATATTGGGAGGCGAGCCGTCAGGTTGAGCTGATCGGGGGGGGGCGGCGAAGGGTCTCCTTACATTTGCCCTCGCTAATGTAGGGTCATGTCTGGACTTTTTCAGAGACTATAAGTTGTATATTTTGGAGAAATCTTCAGATGGGGCCGTGTGACATGAGAGGCCCTGGTTTATTTGTGGCCCCTTGACTTGGGTTGCGAGGGTTACATTTGACCTGGCTAATGTGAGGTCAGATCTGGACTACTTCTGGGATGTAGGTTATTGTGTATATTGGGAGAGAGTGGGCAGGTGCCTCTTACATGTTTGTTGGGGCCGTGTGACATGGGAAGGGGAGCCTGGCTGATTTATAACCCTTGGTCAGCCGCTAGAGTTACCCTACACTTGACCTCCCTAATGTCGGGTCAAGTCTGGACTGTTTCTGAGATGTAAGCTGTGGTCTGACAACCCATCACTATATATATATATATATATATATATATATATATATATATATATATATATATATTGAAACATGCAAACATTTCTATAAATTTGGGGGCCCACTGATGAGTTTGGCCTGGGGCCCACAAGTACAGTAGGTAAATCCGGCTCTGACATTATGCTTGCAATATCTTCCCAGGTGGTAGTACCTCCCTGTTTGGTAGCTGCCTGCTACCTACTCCAGTACAATCACCTGATCATGCTGTGCTGTTACAACAGCTTGTACACTTATGTCCAGGATAAGGTTTGTTCATATGGGTATACTGTACAATACAGTACAGTACCTGTGTACTGTGCTGTACTACGTAAGTTGAATGTTCGTAAGTAGAGGAGCACCTGGTGTACAGTATACCTGTAGCTGACTACCGTAGCAGAAAATAAACTATTCAAATTGGTCCATTATGACCTGTACAAGCATCTCATTCACCCAATTCACTCAACAGGTTTGTTTTTTAAGAACACAAGGGCATCAAGGAACACCCACCTTGAGGACCACAGTACAAGGGTCACCACTGTCAGGACGCACCACAAAGCATCCACCTTGCTTGCCATTTTCCTTCACCAGTTCCTTCAGCTGGTCTCCAATAATCTCCTCGCAACAATTCCATACATCGTATGAGTCGATCACACAGCCAAAAGTCCCTAGGAGAGTACAGTGTGATTAATTTTATATGCATTGAAAATTTGAGATCTTATATGGCACCCTTGGAGGACTACAGGCATGGAGGACTGCAGTACAGCAGGAAATGTAGGGAACTTGGAGAACATATGTCTGGTTTCCTATATGAGCTTATCACTTAACCTTTATAAGTTTAGAGCCTTTGAGAAAATACAGTGAACCCTCACTTTACACGGTTAATTGAACCCATGGCGGCTCGCGTAAAGTGAGAAACGCGTAAAGTGAACAACATAACATATGGGATTAAGTGAAATAGAGACCGGGCCAACCCCCAAACTCCACTTTTTCCCAACACAATACTGTACATACGTTTTACTAAAATAACATCTTACCTTTATGATGGTATTCACACACACATAATATAGAAGGGAACAATCAATAAGAGAATAATAAACTGAAGGTTAGGTTAGAAAAAAACAAGGTTGGGGTTAACACTTACGTTAGTAGAAGAGATGGGTCGGCGTACGGGAAAGGAGGCTGGTTCTGAGGCAGAGGGCAGGCTACTGGCCCTCAGGTGAGTCTTCATCGGTGTCATCCACACTTACTAGTGCCTCCCTGACAAATCCCTCAAAGTCATCATCACTGTCTCTGCCTCTGTCACTATCACTGGCTTGGACTGGCTGTGGTGGGTTGCGGGCGAAGAACTCTGTTATGCTTTGCTGACGGCTGGTGTTTATGTTGTCATGATAAATCTTGATGTAGGGCTCCATAGTCTGCAACAGTTGGATAGTGAAGATTTCATACCTGTTAGCGTCAGGGTCATCTGAAAGGAGGAGCTTGACTTTCTCGATACACTCGATGGCACCCCTTACATTACTATGGGATAAGCGGTGTTGTTCTTGGGATGACGCACCACCTGCCTCTTCACTGACGTCATCATCATCTACCATCTCGTCGGTAGTCACATCAGGATCCCTTATCACCTCCAGGATGTCGTCGTTGGTGGTCTCGGAGAAGCCTGCAGCTCTAACACTGCGCAGCTTCTCTGGCAAGGACCACTGCTACTGCAACAGTCTGAACCTTACCAGTCACAGATTTACTCTGCCTAACACCCGGAATGCCTTGCAACACATGTCTCCATGCGTGACGAACCGTTGCTACAGACAGCTGATCCCATGCCTCCACCAAGAAGTCCACAGCTTTCTTGATGTTAAATTTCCTCCAGAATTGTTTCAAAAGTACTTCTTGCTCTGCCAACTGTTGATCCTCGTTGTCTTCGCTCTTGTTATAGGTGTTGGTGTCACTCAGGTTACACAACTCTTCCTTTGGTGTTGGTGTAGTCGTTCAGGAGCTTGAATTTTTTAGCAGAGAACGCAGCTTTTACATTACAGATCAATTCTTGGTCCATGGGCTGTATTATAGACGTAGTGTTGGGAGGAAGGAAGACCGCTTTTACGTTGGGGTGATGATCTAACAGTAGGGGCGAGTGTCCTGGTGCATTGTCAAGCAGCAACAAAATCTTGAATGGCACATTCTGTTGCTCACAGAATTTTTTCACATCGGGAACGAAACAGTCATCAAACCAGGAGAGGGACAGAGTAGAGAACATCCACGCCTTCCGTGCGGTCAGCCAGTGGACATTTAGCTTGGTCATGTCCATGCTCTTGTAGGCGTGCGGCTTGCGTGCTGTGTGGATCACCAATAACTTGAGCTTACAGGTACCGGAGGCATTGGTGGTAAACAGGACGGTGATGCGCTCCTTCTGCAACTTCCGGCCCCGACACTTGCTGGCATTCTTTACAACGAAGGTCTTGGAAGGTAGCTTTTTCCAAAAAAGACCAGATTCGTCCATGTTAAACACCTGGTCGTCGGTGTACTGTCCTTCCTCTATAATCTCACGTAAAAAAGGGGGAAATTCCCTAGCCGCAACACGGTCAGCACTAGCTTCTTCACCACCGATGTTGATATTGGTGATCTTGTTCCTCTTCTTAAACCTCTGTAACCACCCACAGGAAGCATTAAAGGGTTTGGGCTCTGTAATTCCCATCTTTCGTGACACTGCAGCATACAGTTCACGTGCGTACTCCTTAACTGAGCGCGTGTCCACCGCCATGTTCCTTCGCGCCTGACGCACCAAGTAGCTCACAAGTAATTTTTCCGTCTTGAGAAGCACCTGGTTGTGGAAATACTTGATCATAGAAGTACCTGTAGACTTTGTGATGATCATGTGCTCCTTTATCTTGGCTGCATCCTTCTTAATTGTCCTGATAGTTGATTCGTTAACCCCATGCTGGCGCGCTAGATCAACCTGTCTTGTTCCTTTCTCCAACTCTTGTATGATCTTATATTTGATTTCGTAGCTTAAGGAACGTCGTGTCTTCTTTGGCTTAGGGCGGCTGGGTCCAGGTAATGCAAGGTTTCTTTGTGGTGGTGGTGGTCTGGTGGAAGCCATTCTTATGGAACAATGGATATCTATATACACGGTGTAGCCGGGAGGGGTGTAACTGACGCGGGTAGGTCAAGGGGCTTGAACGCGCCCACGGCGGGGCACGTCATAGTACATTAAACCAATCACAGCTAGTGGGGAGGGAGGTAAGGATGCTTTGCCCAATCACAGTCCGCTACGTCATATGACGTCACCGATAACGCAACAAAGACACACACTGCGCAACCTACTCGTGCCGCTTACACAACATGGCGGATGGCGGGAGGTTTGGATCAAAAAATGGCACGGCGCGAGAGGACCGCCAGCTGCTCTCCGCATAAAGGGGTACACACACCGCGGAAAGTGAGCATTCCGTGTTCTGCAGGGTACAGCGTAAACGTGGAAACGCATAAAGTGGGACCGCCTAAAGCGAGGGTTGACTGTAGAACCAAAGACGGGTAGTTAAACACCCGACTTTGAAGATGAAGCAGATATGTAAAAAAATTACATTATTTTTATATACAGTATATACATAGGTACACTCAGTAAAAAAAGTCTTTCATGAGGGCTTCGGTTAATTTCGAATTGAACAATCTACACACAATGTGGGGTATGCCTCATGGGCCTTTATCAAAAGCCTTCATTCGTGGTGTCATTTTGTTTGGCACAAGAATTGTAAAGATAATTTTTTTTACCGAGTGTACATTTTTCTACTTTGTTTTGGAGTTATTTTACCTTTTTTGTTTCATTTTGTTGACGTTTATTTATCTTATGTTTATATTTGTTTCTTTTGTTTTTGTTGCAGGATGCTTGGATTTTTGTAGAATATAGCCTAAGCTGAATTTTGTTTCTCTTATGGGCCTACAACTATAAACAATTGCCTACTACAATTATAAAGATCAACGGAAAATAAAAATATAACTAGTACACCTGGTAACAGCAATACTGTATACTGTATGACTGTGCGCCTTGGTATCCAAACTTGGATGTTGATCTAAACTCCTGAGCAACCTTAAGTATGTAGAATATAAAGTCACTTACAGTAGACACACGGTATCATCATTTATCTATACTATACAGTCTCAGTGTAATGACCACGGTCGTACACGTCAGTTAACTTAAAATCAGACGATTCATATTACGCTCAATAGCCCACAAAACATGTAGCTATGCCTTCTTTTGAGTCCCCCGTCTGGAAAGTCCGTTTTCTCATCGCTTCAGGACGCCCGAGTCCTCCGTTTTCTTTCAATCTTAGAGTGCACCAGAGACTTTGTTATTCCTTAGAATAACAACACAGAATTTGAAATTGCACCTGTAGTTGTATATGTCGAGGCAACTTAGATATGTCTGATTACAGTTGGAATATTCAAGATCCATTGTGAGTGATGTTGAAAGCTTCAACGGTCTTTATTGTTGGTAAAACTTGTCAAGTAAGTGAGTGTCAAGTCTGTCAGTACGAGTGGCATATCCTTATATCGTCCTTGGGGATAGCCATACTTTTACTTTTATCCTCTTCACCAATCATCGGTTCATTAGCCACTTGGGCGATCGGTCACGTCTCTCTTACTTTTCCTTTTCTTTTATCCTCTTCACCAAATGATCGACTCATTAAACGCTTGGGCGATCGGTCACGTCTCTGTTACGCACTGTTGGCAAGTACTGGGCATGCACCGGCTCCTGAATGTACCTGAACCTGCTCCAGTGTTGGTCAAGTTTGGTCTTGAAAGAGCTCACACTTGGTGCAGTCACAACACTTTCTAGTAGATTGTTCCAAAATTTCACAACTCTCACTCCAAAAAAGTTTGCCCTCACAGTTTTCTGGACTTGCAGCTTCTTCAATCTTAAGCTGTGACCCCTTATGGAGCGAACGTCCGCCAGCTCCAAGTAAGGACATTCGACTGAGTAGTGCCCCTTGAGATGCTTATACAGTACACCTCAATTAGGTCTCCCTTGCCCGTCTGTAGTATATGCTAGGCAAGTTCAGGCGCTCCAATCTCTCAGGGTAACTGAGGTGCCGAAGTGCAGGCACCAGTCTGATGGCCCTCCTTTGAACATTTTCAACCAACTGACAGTCCCTAGCATATCTCGGGGACCAGACGGGGTGACAGTACTCCAGATGGGGAAGCACTTCACTCTTGAAGATCGTTACAAGGGACGGACCGTCTAGATATCTGAACGACCTTCTTATAAGACCCAATAATTTAATTGCCTAATTTACCTTCTTCTCGCAATGGCCCGAGAACTTCAATCCATTGTCAACATACACACCTAGGTCCTTCTCACATTCAGTCTCAAATAGTGCAGTTTCTTCATCCCGTTGGGACATATGATACGCCTCCTTACCGTTGGTACGCCCCAGGGGCATCATTTTACACTTCGTGACATTGAATCTCAGAAGCCATTTCTTCGACCATTCTTGAAGCCCACAGAGGTCCTTCTGCAGCTCTTCACAGTCCGCTTGGTTTTTAATTTCTCGAAATAACTTGGTGTCATCGGCAAACATTTGTATGGAGGAGTGTAAAACGTCAGGCATGTCATTTATGAAACATGCAAACAACAGCAGGCCCAATACACTGCCCTGTGGTACCCCACTTGTGA